TAGAACTCTGTCTCTGTAAACTACATAACACATACATGTTTTATATTTTAAATAACGGTTTAAGCAGTAGAACAGAATTATTTAGGAAAGCACAAAAGCGTGCAAAGGCAGGCCTGTATTCCTGTTCTCCACAGAAGTTACCTGAACCGTGGCGTGATAGGTGTCGGGCTCCGGCCCTCGCCCTCTCCCAGGATGTGGCCGTGGCTCCCTCCCTCCGTGAATCACCCCATGTCTGTACGTAAGGACGGCGCCTGTCCCTACAGTTACCTGGATCTGGGACTTGTGAACCGCTTGTTCTGCTGCAAAGCTACACTCCCAGGAGCCTCAGTACTTGGCTTTAGCTTCTATGAGTGTGGCAGGTGATCAAGGCACACACCTCCTCCTGGTGGCAGTGTGCCAGAATTGCAGGCTCAGGTTTTTGGAGGGACACACGAACCCCAGGAGAGTTCAAGATGCCAACCTGGGCACCTGAAGAGACAACAAGCATTTCACCTGTGCTGTCTTTGAGGTTTCTGTTGCCACGCGAGCAATTTGCGGCATCTGTTCTCAAAACAGCCGCTGGTTCCAAATTCTGAATTTTAAGTTTGTCTAAAGGAAGTTCTAAAGCACATCTCTGCTCTTTGCCCTCTGCCCCCGCTGCACTGGGGGGAGACTGTAGCCGAGAGTCCCATCCCGCCATCTCAGTCCCCACCCCATGCGTTCAGGCGGAACCGTGCTGCCTTGGGCCTTCACCTGCCCTTCATGTAGCAGGGTGGGCACTGTAGGCACCACAGCACATGCCAGCTGGCGCTTCTGTGCCCACACTGTCAAAAAGTGCTCACCAAGTACAGCAGCTGATCCACGAAAGTGCGGAGCCACACAGCCTGTGGCTCTGACCTCAGCATGTTTCCTGCTTCTTGGGAAGGACCCCACCTAAAGCTCATTTATTTTGTGAAGCAGGATGACAACTGAAGACAGGAGCGTTAGGGAGAGGCTGGAAGGTAAAGAAGAGCATCCGGGGCCCTGTGGCGGGGGTGGGCTCCCATCTGGCCGTGCTAGCAAGAGGCTGTCTGCCTGTCTGGGAACGCAGGCCATGCTTGTCCTCATGGGCAGGGAAGGCCCCGGGCACAGCTCCCACCTTTGTGTGCCCAGGCCAGGGAGGAACTTCTGGGACTCCCCAGGCAGGTGCATGCTGCAAAGGGGAGAAGGGGGGACTTGGACCCTGCCCAGCATCCTCTTTCTGCCGAGGGGCTCCCACAGCCCCAGGACAGAGGATGGGGGGCAGGTTCAACACCCACAGGCCGCACAGAGACCCAAGTCGGGACAGAGGTGGGGCTTCTGGGAAGACAGTGTCTTCTCATGGAACCACATGCTGGTGCCCAGTGAGGGCCCTGCCAGGAGGGACAGTTAATGACAGGCCCTCTGTGAGGCATCAGGAGGGGGGGAGACCACATGAGTTACAGCTTCACAGCTCCTGCCAGGGGAGTTGGCTGGGTTTGAGCAGAAAGATGACAGGCAGAGAAGGAGCCGAGACAACTGGCTTCTTCAAGAAAGGGACCAGCCGTTCAGCCACCACCCGAGCCTGCAGGGGCTGCAGGAGGAGCCCACAGTCGGGCAGAGCCCAGGCAGGAGGGCTGGCACACTTGGCGAGGGAAGGGCAACCAGGACAAAGCCCCACGCACGGGGCAGCCTGAACCACAGACAGCCACTGTCCCAGTCTGCTGGGATGGAAGTCCGGTGTCAGGTGTGGGCAGCGCCGCCCCCCTGGGCTGGAGGAGCATCTGGTCCAGGCCTCTCTCCCGCAGATGGGGCTTCTCAGCTGGTAGAAGCATTGCCTGCCTCTGCCGTCGTGTTCACGTGGCATCTCCCTGCATGTGTCTGTGGCTGGATTTCCCCTTTATAAGGGTGTGGTCACGTGGGGTGAGGATCCGCCCCAATGAGCTCATACTAACCCAATCACCCGCAAGGACCCTGCTTCCAAATAAGGTAATGTCTCGGGGTACAGGGCTGAGAACTCCAACAAATGAATTTGGGGGCCACACCTCACCACTTAACAGATGAGTCTGGGGCCATGGCGGGAGGCACAGCCGGCGCAGGTAAGTGGGCAGGCTCTGGCCAGGCCCGGACTGACCCCTGGAGAGCAGTGAGGCAGGCACGGCGGGGCCGTCAGAGCCCCACCCCAGTAAGGTCTGCATGGGCGGTGGGTCAGGATGGACCCTTGTGCCGGGTGAGCAGGCAGAGCCCGTCATCGGGGCCCCGCCACTCCCAGGAACCAGGAGGGTCCTGGCGCTCCACTGTGCCCGGGGCTGGGGGGCTCTGCTCTTTGCCCAGAGCCAGGGCTGGGAACAGGCTGTTCAGTGCAGCCAAGGTCTCTGGCAGGGGGGCTTCCTGTCCCGGGGCAGTTTGGTGGGGGTCTCCACAGTGTGGTCTCAGGGAGCCGAGGGGAATCTGATGCCCAAGAACTGCCCTTTCCTAGAACTCAGCCTCCTAAATCACAGCATCTCTGACACTTCTACCACCCAGGTACAGGAACAAACCTCAACTCCCAGTCCAGGGCCAGTCCTGGCCAGGGCTCGTGGGAGGTCAGTGAAGACGATATTTAGTGGACCGGCCTTCACGGAGTCAGGCCCGAGGCTTGGGGCTCAGCGGTCGGCAGCGTGGACGGAGGTCAGAGGCCGAGTCCCCAGCAGCCGCCAGGAGCTGGCTTGGAGCCTGACTCCTCACGTAGCAGCAGCTCAGCCTTACGCAGCCACCGTCTCGCTGGGCATCAGGACGCTGGGTGGCGGACCTGAGTGAGGCAGCTCTGGCTGTCTGTGGGCCTCGCCCCCCTGGGACACGTCCTGTGCAGGGCAGCTGAGCCTACCTGCCTTCTGCGGGGCCAGCTCCTCACCTCTGTCCCCCACAGCCTCATAAGGTGCTGACTTCAAAGCTTTGGCAGACGGATAGCTGGAAACTGTCTTCACTGCGGGTCGTCTCCAGGGGCAGCTCCCCACGGCACTCTGTCCCCCCGAGGGAGCCTCGCTGGCATCCCAGAACCTCGTGAAGGGGCCTCTTCTGCGCCTTCCATGCTCACCTGCTGTGGCCCCCCAGGCGTCTTGCTGCCCCACAAGCACGCCAGGCTTTCCCGCCTGGGGACCCGGCCCCCACTGCGCCTCTTGCCCAGTCCTGGTTTCTGGGTGGCGCCCAACACACCTGAGATCACATCTGTTCATTGGCATGTGGACACAGACCTGGGCATCTGGCCACCGTGAGCACACAGGCCCCCGAGGCGGGCGGACTGTCCCCCAGGGTGGCCTGTGTCTCCGGGATTTCCATGGGCTTTCAGAGCTGAAGTGTTGGTGGGCGAGGGAGGGAAGGAAGGAGGCGGGGAGGGCGGACAAGTTCCAGAGCGGATCGCTGCGCTCCTGCGCTGCCGGGAGGGGCGGGGGCGGCCGGCGGGGTGCAGGCTGGCATGTCTCTGCGGGGCGAGGGCTTGGCGCCGCCCACCTCCTTTCCTGGTGGCGCTCTCCGCTGCCCTTGCCCATCCAGCTTCTCTGCTTCCTAGATTCATCTGGTTTCCTAGTTACCCTGAGAAAATCAGAAAAGGACTAGGAACCCTTTACAAAGACCACCACCCCCACCACCCAGAATTAGGCAGGTTTCCCTGCAAGGGCCCCTCCCCGGACCGCCCTGCCCCAGTGGAGGGGCGCTGAGCTCCAGACCAGCAGGGTGGCCAGCCTGCCAGTTTGCCCATCTGAGGCTGACAGGGCTCCCAGGACACGGGAAAGCCGGGATGAAGTGGGACAAGCTGGCCACCGAGGCAGTGAGACAGCAGGGCAGACCCATGTGTGCCACCCCAGCTGCTGTCTGTGGGGACGCACCAGGCCTTCCCAACACGTCTGTGGCCTCACTGCACCTTAGGGGGTCCACAGCAGGAGAAAGGACAGCAAAATGGGGACTGGCGGTCACGGGGATGGGCGGGGTTCCAGGCTTCTGTTTTGTCCTTTGCAGTCAGAGTGGGCGTCTGTCTCCAGAGACGGTGTGTGGAGTGCTTGCGAGCTTGGCCATCCTGTGGGTCTGTTCGCTGCCTCCCTCCGTGCTGGTGGACACGCTGGGCGCTGTGGAGGTGGGGGATGCTGGAGCCCACCTGGAGGGCCCGGTTCGGTGGGCGTGAGGGTGGGACTGGGGCTGGAGGTGTGAAGCCCACCTGTCCGGGTGCCCAGAAGGTATGGCTTGTGGGGTGCTGCCCCCAACCCGTCTCCATTGCCCTGGTGGAGCACTAGGTGGGACAGCGGACTGAGCAGGTCCACAGCTGGGCTGCGCTCTCTTGAGAGGCAGAGACACTGTGTTCAAGGCCCAGCCCACTCCTGCGCAAGGGATGTCACCTTGGGTCCATTTCTACTTCTGTGCTGCATATATTCGCCACACAGTGGGAACAGTGGCAGTGAAGGAGGAGGTAACGGGCTCCGAAAGGTGCCAAGAGCTCCGTGACCGCCAGGTGGCCCCAGTGGGGGCAGTGTCCCTGGGGCCTGGAGCAGCTGTCCCAGCTGTAAACTCTTAGTACCTTGTCAGCCAAGCTTCGTGCCTTTTCTGTGCCGGGCAGGAGAGAAGTGGGGAGGGCGCATCTGGAGAAACGGGCCAGGGCAGTGCCAGGTGTGCCCCCAACACATGAGCTGCCGGCAAGCGTCCTGTTCTCTCCTAAGGAGAGACTGCAAAGCCAGATGGTTGGAACCCGCACCCTGGAAATGTCGCGTCAGGCACCCTGCACCCCTGGTGACCGGGAACTGCTGGCTCTGCCTGCGTGAACGCCTGAGGCCGCAGGGGTCCGATGGGGTTGAGCACCAGCATCTCGTGAACCCAGGGACGCGGCGGTGGGGGGGCCCACACCGCCTCGTGGCCACCGTCCTCTTGGTTCCCCGAGAGCTCGGCAGTCTTGGGATGTCTGCCCCCCTTTAGGAGGCAGCCTGGTCTCTGCCTTGGGGCGGGCGTGTGGCCCTTCCCATCCCATCCACCACCTCACTGACCTGCCCGTCTTCCTGCAGGTAAACAATGAGAACGTCGTGAAAGTGGGCCACCGGCAGGTGGTGAACATGATCCGCCAGGGAGGGAATCATCTCATCCTCAAGGTGGTCACGGTCACCAGGAATCTTGACCCAGATGACACTGCCAGGAAGAAAGGTACACGCCCCGCGCTGCCCCTGGGATGCGGGGCCTCCCCTCCAGCCTCCTGTGCTTGGACACCTTCCGCACTGTCCCCCACCTCCTCCCACTGGGCGTCTGTTCCCCACCAGAGTAGAAAAGCAGCCAGATGGGACATCAGGAGATGATGTGGCCGCACCTGCCCTGTCCCAACCCTGGAGGCCTGGCAGGGGGGCTGTTGCTGGCCTCACCACCTGGGGATGGCCAGTCAGCCTTCCCAGCACAAAAACACAGGCTTGGGCCGCCTGTCCTGGGTCGTCCTGGGAGTGTGGGGCGGGGTGGGCGGCTCTGCGGCCGGCCGTGTTCTCACCTGTGTCTCTCTGTCTGCCCTCAAGCTCCCCCGCCCCCCAAGCGCGCTCCCACCACGGCGCTCACCCTGCGCTCCAAGTCCATGACCTCAGAGCTGGAGGAGCTCGGTAAGAGTCGCCCGTCCGGCCTGCCCTGTCGCCAGCACGTGGCCTCCATGAAGCCCAGTCCCTGCATGGCCCTTTGCTTGCCTGCTTGCCCCCCTCCACGCCCGAGCCTGGGCATAGCACCAGGAGCCCCCCTGGCTGCCAGCAGCTCCCGTTGGCATCCGCGTTGGAACCCCGTGGCTCCGGGGTGTGGTTACTAGCTTTGCCTTTTCTCTTTCTGGCTCATCTAACATTGTTTTGTTTTGAATTTTTGGGCCTCTCACTAGTGGATAAAGGTAAGTGGCCCCACAGGGTCCTCCAAACAGCTCCCGCTGCGGTCTAGGGATCCCCCCAAATTCCGGCTCAGACCAGAAAGGTCCGGCCCTGGGCTTGATGTAGGTGCAGTGTGGCGGCAGGGCTGCGGGCTGGCGCCTCTCTAAACGTCTGCAAGGAGCAGAAGGGGCTCTGGCCACAGGCCCATCGTGCAGCCTGTGTGGGGATACGTGCCACAGTGTGGGCCCAGGGTGCAGCACTGTGGCAGCTTGACAAGAGGGTGACCCTGGAGCTGGTGGCATGAGCCTCCCAGAAGCTGGCTAAATGCCATTTGGGGGCATCACCACGGACCCAGGGACACCTGGTGGGGAGGGTGACACTGACCCACACAGAAGTGGTGGGCAGGTTGATGAGCTTGCTCCACTGGAAGGAGGGAGAGGGACTTTGGGGCAGGAAGAGGGGGCATCTGTGTGCTCTGTGCAGGGCACTGCAGGGGACGCAGACCCTGAGCCCACAGCCCAGCTGCCAGGCCCACCTGCTCTGGTGGGCTGAAGCCTGGGCTCTCCTCACTGGCGTGTGATTTGATGTTGCCTCCCTGGCATCCTGCCTTCACTGGGAGCCCTCTGGGCCTGTCCCCCACAGAAGGGACAGAGCAGCCTTTCCTCCACAGTGGGTGGGTCGAGCAGCAGGTGTCCTCCTGACGAGGCCCTCTCCCCAGTCTCTGTTCTGGGGCTAGAATCGCAGCTCACACTGAGCCTTAGCCTTCCAGAAAAGACCTGCACTGTTGCGTGCCCACCCGCCGCCCAGACGCACTAGCTCCCCACAGCCCCTTTTCTTCTGGCCCCTCCTTTGACCCCATCGTGTCCCTCCAAACAAGCCTCAGCAGGACAAGCCCACTATCCCCTACACCTGTGGTGGTACCTGGTTTGGGTGACAATGTGAACTACTGCTTATCCCTCGTGGCTGCCTCCCCGACGAGGGACCAGCAAGCAGCTTGTCTTTCAAGTGGGGCTGCACTAAGGGCAGCTCAGACAAGGGGGCTCTGCGCCATCCCCGAGCCCTCAGGAAGCAGGTTTATCAGTGAGGCGTTTCCAGAGAAGGCCACAGGGAACGCACCTGCTCTTGAGAACCCCGGTCCCCGAGTTGGCCCCCTGAGCTTCAGTTACCGCTTCCCGGCCCCCGAGTGAGGCAGGCCGGCCCAGGCCCTGGTAAGCCCTGCCACCCTGGGACTCACGCCGCCCTTTCTGTTTGCAAGCCTCCATCCGGAAGAAGAAGGGTAAGGGGCGAGCCCGTGTGTTTCCAGCCCCTGCCCGCACACCCCGCGGACGGGAACCCTCTGTTGGCGTGGGTGTGGCGTCTCAATGTGCCGTGACCCGTCCCTTCTCCTCCCCGTGCCCGCCCTCCAGAGCGTGTCCGTCTGACTCATTCCGTCCGCTTCGCTCCCCCTCTGTGCTCCCCCGCGATGTTCTTTGTTTCCCCTGAGCTGTGTCCTCCTGGGGCCCCCGGCCGCCACAGCCAGGCAGGCAGCCCCTGAGCTCCATCCAGCCCTCTGGTTGTGAGGGGAGCCCCTGCAGATGGGGAGAGGGCTGTGTCCCTGACCACTGACCCGGTCACCATGGCAAGGGCGGCGTGCTCCGCCCCGAGGAGAGCTGTGCTGGGACGGCAGGGGTGCCCCTCCCCGCCCGGGGCTCAGGTTCCTCCAGGAGCACCAATTACAAGAAGTGCCATTAGTTCAAAACCTCTTTGCGGGGAGTATCTGAAACAATGCGGTTTCTGAAACCCTGGAATCTGGGCTGGAAGGTCTTGGAATCTACGTGTAGCATCTGGGGGCTGGGTGATAGGTCCCGGAGCCCCAAGACAGATGCCTGTCTGCCCGGCTCCTCAGCGCTGCCCACCGCATCTGCCTTTCTTGGGAGCAGTCCCGAGCCTCCAGCCCCAGGGGCCGCCTGGGAAACTCCCGCTGGGCTCTGGGACCAGCCACAGTGCCAGTCATGGGATGGCTGCCCAGGACACAGACTTGCCTGGGCTTACGTTTCTCTCTAAACTGCCCTCCATCCAAGGCTGACCCCTAGCTGGCAGGAACGGCCCCTCTGTCCACCACACCATTCTGAGGAAGGCCCCCCACCACGGGCTTCCAGGAACCCCGACACCGTAACGGCTGGCCGAGGAAGCCGGCTGTCAAGGAGAGCCTGTGGCCTGCCCGCACCGGCCCCACCCACTCCGCCCTCCTCGCCAGGGGCGCCTGCAGCAGCCAGACCCCAGCCTGTGCCGGAAGACAAGAGGAACCAGCCCGGCCAGCACGGGCCAGGTGGGACCCACAGAGGAAGGCCAGAGCCCTGGAGGGCGGAGACCCACCTTCCTTTGAGCAGCAGAGAAAATGACACAGATGTGGAATCAAATGCCCCCCTCTCATATTGCCTGACCCCAGGTGGAACAGAAGACAGGTGTGTAGGCAAGAAGACCCCAGCGGGCCGGGCACCCCCAGCCCTCCTCCAGCAGCAGTTTGTGCAAGGCCACGCCGGAGGGGTTGAGCCCTGAGCCAGTGGCTGCCGTCCATACGAGAGGAGATTCGGGAGGGGCCACATGGGGATGGAAGTAGAGGCTGGGGGGACGTGTCCACAGCCCTGGGATGCCTGGAGCCCCGGAAGCTAGGAGAGGCCGGAAGGGCCCTCCCCTGGAGCTTCCGGAGGGGGCCAGCCTCCTGACACCTCGATCTTGAAACTCTGGCCTCAGACTGCGTGCGATGCATTTCTGTGGTCTCAAACACCCAACTTGTGACACTCTGTCCCAGTGGTTCTAGGAAACAGACACCAGTAACGTGACCTCAGGTACCAGCTCACAGCTCCCGAGGTCCGGCTTCTGCCCACCACCAGTGGAGGACTAAGACCCCTAGTCTCTAAAGGCTCCTCATGTTCCCGAAGACCGTGCTCGTGACCAGGGCAGGAGCCAGGCCAGTGGGGGACCAGCTACATGGGGCACACATGGCCCGTCTCCTGGAAGGCATGGGGCCCGGCAGAGCACCTGGGCCAGGCACAGTCGGCCTTTCTGTGCCACCTGCCAGGGACAAACCAGAGGTGGGCCGGTCGGGCTGCTGCTCCCCACAGGTGCTTGTCTCTCCCCTCTGCTGCTGCTGGAGGGGGGGCTCTGGGAGGGGGGCCATGTCCCCCTGCCCCCATCATGGCCGCGTGCGACCTGGCAGATCCCCCTCCTCCTCTCCCAGGGCACCTGCTCCCCACACCAGAGAGTTTGCAATTTAGGGACAGTGAGCACCATGTCTGTCTTCCAACAGACTATAAGCACACCTAGAAAATCTAAATACGGGGTTATTTCTGGAGTGGGTTCATCAGCCCCTGATTGTTTCTGAAGCTTGAGCGGTGTTCAGGTCTGTGTGCAGGGTTACTTTCATTCACAGAGTCCTTCGTTCAAGACTGCAGGGGGCTGGACTTGCTGGCGCTCCTCATGTGGAGTCCGCGAGCAGAGACCCAAGTCCAGGCTTTTATGAATTAGGCACAAGAACCCTCACGAGCCTGGAATGAGAAGCAGGACCCCGCAGGCTCACAGCTTTTCCTAAAAGCCTTTATGTTCTGGTAAACAAACCCTCAAAGAAGAGGGCTGGGCAGAGTCCTGAGTCCCTTTAGACAAGAGCCAGGAGGCCCCTGGCCCCCATGGGAAGCCACACAGGATCCCTTCTTTCATTTGCTTCTCACAACCACAGTGCAGCCCCCACTGGAAAAGGAGCGGCAGCCCCAGCCTTACCCCCGGACGGGGACGCTCTCCTGTGTTCTGGTGTAAAAGGACGTTGGGGGGGGTGAAGGGCAGAGGTTTAAAACAAAGATAAGGATGGCCACGTTCAAGGTGGCCACGGCTCCAGGGGACACACCTTCAACTTCCCAAGCCTGCCCCCTCGACACCTGGCAGCTGTGGTGTGGCAAGTGCCCTGAGCTGATGCACCCCCTGCTCTCACTCACCTGGACTGGGCAGACCATCCCAGTAGGAGCCCTAGATTCCGCTGCCCACCAGGGCCTGGCATCCTTCAGCCACAGCCGGAGTGCAGAGGCTGGGGGCCCGTGCTCCCGCCTGGCTCCACACTCCCCCCTGCATCGACCTTTAGCACCTCAGTCCCCAGTTCTCTCTGCAAAACGGGAGCAGCCCCCGCTCCCCCCACCCCCCGTGGCCAGCGCTTGCAGGGCGAGCAGCAGGATGGAGGCAGTTCCCACCTATTCACACCCATCATTCTAGGCCTGTTTTTGGGGTGCCTGCCACATGCCATGCCCCAAGATCAGTCTGCTGCCTGCCCGCCGGGGTGTGTGAAGACTCCAGGGGTGCTCAGGATGTTGGGAGTCGGGGTGAACAAAATCCCTGCTCCTCGGGATGCCCAGACGCGGCCAGCCACATTGTCATCCACTGTGCCTCCCACGGGGTGTCCTGCTGGGTGCCAGGCGCTCCTGCCTGGGCGCAGTACCGCCTTCGGGGGACATTCCTGGAGGCCCCCGGGGGGAAGCCCGCTGTAGCTAAGGCTGGGCTGAGAGCACCTGCGGCCGGAGCCCCAGCCCCGCTGAGAGGCCCAGCCACCTGCCCTCGCCCGAGGAACGCCTGCACTCGGCTGAAGCGAAGCTGACAGCCCTATGAGAGGCTTGGCTTCCGGGGATGGGCCGCTCAGACCCCAGAGTCCCCGTCAGCTCGCTGCAGAGGTCAGCCGAGCATCACCTGGGGGCTTGGCTGGAAGGACCCTAGCTGTGCAGCTGTCAGAGCACCACTGGGAGAAAGCCCTGCAGAGAAAGGGGTCCCAGCGGGGGTGGGGGGTGCATGGTGGGCACGAGGAATCCAGCAGAGAGAGGAAGAGGGCAAGCAGGGAAGTGAGGGGCTGCAGGCAGACCGGCCGAGGCCCTGGCGAGGACAGAACGCGTCAGTGGGCGGTGAGGAGGAAGGCGGAGGCTGAGGACCCAATAACTAGCTGGGTGTGGGTGTTTCTGACTAGTTCCCTAAGGGGCAATGCCTGACGGTGTCCCCCAGTATCCAGGAGGGGAAGGAGGGCCCTGAGGAGGAGGCGGGCCCCAGAGCCCGGGGGTGGGCCGCAGAGAAGGGACAGGCCTGGCCTTTAGCCAGCAGGCGGGGAGGGGCCGGGCCCCATGCTGCCTCTGCCCGAAGTCACGGAGTGCGGCGTGCGCCCGGCTGGGCCAGCATCAAGTGTGGGCAGCGGGTGGCTCGGGCTCACAGGCCCTCTGCTACTGTGCATTCCCCTTCCTGACCTCTTAACCCCCAAAAGAGCAAACACCTTCCTAGGTCACAGGCCAGACAACAAGGCGAGGGTGGGATCTGGGCTCCCCCCGCCCCGCACACCCCTCCCTCCTGCGCTTCCTCCCGGGCTCTGGGGGCTTCTCTAGGGCCTCTAGCTCTTGGGAAGCTGCCAGGACACACGGCCGCCTCAGTGCAAGGAACAGTCTGGCGCGGGAGCGCCCGTCTGCTCCCTGACACCCACAGCCGCACAGCTCAGGGTCTGGACAAGCCCCCGGAGGCCTGGGTCATTTTGGCAGCATGCACTTCACAGGGACTCACCAGACCCCAGAGAAGGCTGGGGCTGCCTAGGAGGTGGCCTCAGGCTTGTAGACAGAACATTCTGGGTAGCCTGGGGGGTGAGGAGAGTTCCAAGGTCCAGAATGGGATGCCCCCGCTGGCCCTTCCTCATGCAGATTTCACCCACCCCACGGCTGCTCTCCGGTAGGGCCGCTGGGGGCAGTGCTGCCTGCCCAGGACCCTTGCTGTGTAGGTCTCAGGACCAGGCCCAGTGTGGACAGCCCTGAACACGTATGTGAACTCATACAGCCCAAAAAGTGAGGGTGTCAGGGTGGTTCTAGAATGTACTTCAATTTTCAAGTTTCAAGAACATTTAATTTAATGTCTTACATTTAAATTTAAGAGAAAACTTTAAATTTCTAGTCACAAATAACTAACTCTAAGCCGTCGTTTTCACAAATGTCCATCTTCTACCTTCAGGTTAGAAGTGGGGCTGTTCCCCTGCTGCCTGGGCAGCCTCAGCCTTGCATGCCAGGCCCCTGTGTCCTGGCAACTGCATCTGGTCACAAAGAAACGCACCTGTGAGCTCCTAGAAAGAAAACACCCAAACATTAGTCACACCATCAGTACGAACAGCCCTCCCGCTGAGGAGCCTCTCGGGGGGTCCGGGCCCCTCTGGGGAGGGTCTTCGTCTCCCATCTTGTCCGCGTGCACCCCTCCTGGGCTGAGGGCTCGGGGAATGGGATCTTGGCGGGGGGTGGAGGTGGGGGCACGGGGCGGTGCATGTGGCGGAGAAGCATTTGTGTCCGCACCACAGTGACAGCCGTACTGCCCGAGCTGGGAGGATGGAGCCTTGTTAAACTCCAGCCCTCACTGTGTTTCCCGGGCTTCTGTCACTGACATCCATTCAATCGTCGTGTTCACGCCACAGATAAACCCGAGGAGATTGTCCCGGCCTCCAAGCCATCCCGAGCCGCAGAGAACATGGCTGTGGAGTCCAGGGTGGCCACCATCAAGCAGCGGCCCACCAGCCGGTGCTTCCCATCTGTGTCAGACATAAACGTGAGTGGCCACGCTGCCCACACAGAGCCGATTCCCAGTGGCCATGGGTGGGCGCCGTGGTGTGGGGCAGGGGCAGGCCAGGCGAGGCATGCTTCTCAGGGGGGAACATCTTGGCTGCCGTCTACAGAGCAGCGGACCCCTGCGGGGTAGGAGAGGCCAGACTTCCACCCCCACATGCAGCAGCCTCCTGAGCAGGGGCCTGCCCACGCCTCAGGGCCCCACACAAGGAGGGCGCGCCTCCCCCAGGTCTTACCCACAGTGCTGGGGCTGGGGGCACAGTGGGGGGCTCAGGCTTCCAGAGTTTGATGGATGGGCCAGGCGCCCAGCTAAGAGCCAGCTGCACTTGCTGTGCCCACCTCCCTGAGTGGCGAGCAGAGACCCAGCTGGAGGGCCGGGCACAGCCCCTGCATTGGGCCACCCAAATCCTGGGCAGGCTGTTTCCGGCTGCTCCCCTGACCCTTTTCTGGCGACACCCTTTCAGGCCTGCCAGATCCGAGGACTCTAGTACACTTGGTACTTTATCTGAATCCGCTTGAAATGGACTCACTTGGTTTAATCTAGCCTTGTTTTAAATAATACCACCCATAAATGTCATCCGTCTGCTGTGACAGCTCTGTGTGGTACACAGTAACACAACCCTGCTGACTGCAACTAGCGTTCGCCCCCAACCCCATCCCTAACTCTGAGCACACTTCCACAGGCACTTGTCCGCACCAGGCCAGGTCAGCCCTTCCCTGCGAGCCTGCTCCCCCAGGTTCCCCCTGCACCCCCTGGTTCCTACCCTGCCTTGCCCAGACACTCCCCAAGCCCAGCCGGAGGACAGAGCTGGGCAGAGGCCTCAGGGTAGCAGGGGGACTGTGTCTCCTAGGAAGGCGGTCTGGGGGCCCGGGCCCGACCTGAGAGCTTACACACGTGTTACCACTGGGCTCTGCATCCAGTGTTTTCCAGAGTGGCTCTCTGATGCCACAGGGTGGGGACAGCAGCGCTCTCAGATCTGCAGTCAAGGAAATAGCAGGTTGGGTAGAGGCTACACAGGGAATTCATTCCCAAAGTGAAAGAGGGAAGCCCCAGGCTTGTCCTGGACCAGGCCAGGAGAGGGGCCCTGGGACACCTGCCTGCTGCAAACCCCAGGCCTGCTCTGTGCCCTGGTGTGGGCAAGGGCTGTTGGCCCCATCTGGTGGAGGAGGAAAATGGAGGCTCCTGCTGGAGGTCATAGCCATGGGCAGACCCCACAGCCACCACCGTGTGCCCCGTCAGTGAATGATGCCAGGCAATCCACGCTCTCCTGAACCGCTGGCACTCAGAGGGCGTGCAGAGAGGCCCTCTTCTGGGTTCTCCACACTGGTGTCTCCCGCCAGCCATAGCAGCACACTTAGGAAGCTCCCAGAGGCTGTGTGAGAGGCACCGACTGCCCAGGGCTTCCGTGCCCCCCTCCCCACCCCAGTCCTGGTCACTGAGGGTGAGGCTGGCCAGGGCACAGCTTACCCCAGGCTCTCTGGTTTGCAGTCCATGTATGAGCGCCAGGGGATTGCCGTGATGACGCCCACTGTTCCCGGGAGCCCAAAAGGCCCGTTCCTGGGCCTCCCTCGAGGTACGATGCGAAGGCAGAAATCAATAGGTAAGAAGCGTGGCCTGCACCAGCAGAGGTTCTGCCCCTGGGGCCTGCCCACTGGAGGGTTGGCACCTGGCCTCACCCACCAGGGAGCCCTTTGAACGTCTGAGCTATTTGAAACTTCTCTGCCCACTGGAGTCAAACCCAGGTGGCCCCCCAACCATGCCAGCCAAGTTATCTGTGATGGCACCCGCAGGGGGAGGCGGTGGGTGCCTGGGGGCTCCAGGAAGCCCTTCTCCCTGCCCTATGAGGGTCAGGGTGGGCAGATGGAGCAGGTCCTGAGTTCACTTTGTCCCCACATTCCCTGCTGGACCGGCCATTGCCGTGCTGTGCAGGGCAAACTCAGTGGGCACGCCGCTCGGCTGGCTGGGTCAGCGTCAGGTTCTCCAGCATGCTGCAGAAAGCTGCCTGCCTTTCTTTAATGTCACAGTGGCTCCCTTGGTCTCTGTTCCAGGCCAGGTGCACATGACCCTGCCAGACAGTCAGTCCCCCTGGGGTAACCCCACACTGCCTTTATGGTATGGAGTCCCCAAGAGGCCAGGACACTGCCGGACACTGGCGGGCCCATGCCTGCGAAGGGATGAGCGTGCGGCAGCCCACTGTCAGGGGTTCCGGACGGGTCATGATAGGCAGCGACTGGACCCTGAGTGACGAGGGAGGGTGTGTCCACCGTCCCTGACCGGCCTCCCTGGGGGCTCGGCCTGCAGAGCAGCACATGCGCCGCGTTCTGTCACTGGCTCTGTAACTGCATAATAACAGTTGATTCCCTCCTGTCAGACAGCAGAATCTTTCTATCAGGTTAGTGGACCTTATGGCTTGGACTCTGTGACTGAATGTGACCCCGTTTACTCTATAAGGTGTATTCTTAAACTATTACTCCTTGGGATGCATTTGCCGGGTGCCCAGCGCATAGCAAATGGCCAATGAAGAAGGCCATCTAGCAACCCATCCTTTGTATAACAAAAGCCCCCCTCCCAGAAGGAGTATGTTAAATTTGGAATACCCTTATCGAATGGAAACGTTCACTGGAATATGTTGTTGTAGTTTGTCCTAGGGTTTTTTTGGTTTGTGAAGTAACTCATTTTGTTACCTGTGAAAAACCTGCATGCTCCCGTATGAGTTACCACTCCATGTCGGTCGGTGTCTCTCTGTCCTGCTTCTCACCTAGAGTGCATTCTGTTGACATTTTATATCTTGGATTACCAGCAAAAGAGTGTGTAGACACGCACAGGCTGCCAGGGCTGACACACAGCTGCCAACCCCCTCTAAGGGCCCCCCACGCAGCACAGCCTCACATCCACCAGCCACGTGCCCAGTCCGCCCACCCCGGACCTGGCTCACCATGAGTGCAATGCACCATGGAACCCTTCAATCAGCCTGGCCAGTCTTAGTGGGACCACCAGTTCTAGAGCTTCTGGGAGGACCCGGAGTTTGCTCAGGATCTGCCCCTGGTATGGGCTGGGGGCTGGGTTAAAAAGGGCTTTGGGCTCCCGCCCCTCCCGAGCGTGCAGCAGAGTCAAACTGGCCGCCTCACAGCTGGCCAGAGGCCCAGGGAGTGCACTATCTCCAGGCCCTCGGGCGGCCCAGAGAAGTCAGGCAGGGAAACAGGTTCCCGTACCAGGGTCCGCACACACACGGCCATGAGTGAGCAGCAGGCCTCCCTGCACCTCCGGCAGGGCACACCCGCCCGACACTGGCACTGCATGTTACCCCAGGGCGCCCCTGGCCAAGCCTAAAAGGATGGGTGCCCCCTGACGCACACAGCCTCCGCCCCCAACATGCATTCACATACATGCACACACAGCCCTGAGGTCAGGCGCCCAGCATGGGGCCCTCGCACCCGGCGCCCTGAGGCCGCGAGCAGGACATCTCAACAGCACGCACTCTGCATCCCATGCCTTTCTCGTCCCTTTTCTTTCCTTTTTTTCCTTTTTTTTTTTGGCTCAGAGCAGGCCACGTAGCCTCTTGGCATTGCAGCTCGCACTGTGTTCTGTGACCAAGTGTGCGACATGATTCTCTGAGTTTGCATGCATAACATATGACAGTCCTAGGCGCTTAGTGGGGTGTTTGTCCCTGCGACGTGAAACTAAGCGTGTCTCCTCCTTGCAGGAATAACGGAGGAAGAGCGGCAGTTTCTGGCCCCCCCGATGCTGAAGTTCACCAGGAGCCTGTCCATGCCAGACACCTCTGAGGACATCCCCCCACCACCACAGTCGGTGCCCCCGTCTCCACCCCCGCCTTCCCCCACTGCCTACAACTGCCCCAAGTCCCCAACCCCAAGGGTCTATGGGACGATCAAGCCCGCATTCAGTCAGAACTCTGCCAAGGTGTCCCCGGCAGCCCGTTCGGACACGGTCGCCACCGTGCTGAGGGAGAAGGGGATGTACTACAGGAGAGAGCTGGACCGCTACTCCCTGGACTCCGAGGACCTCTACAGCCGCAATGCCGCTGCCCAGGCTAACTTCCGCAGCAAGAGGGGCCAGATGCCCGAAAACCCATACTCGGAGGTGGGGAAGATTGCGAGCAAGGCCGTGTACGTGCCGGCCAAACCGGCTAGGCGGAAGGGCATGCTGGTGAAGCAGTCCAACGTGGAGGACAGCCCTGAGAAGACATGCTCCATCCCCATCCCCACCATCATCGTCAAGGAGCCCTCCACCAGCAGCAGCGGGAAGAGCAGCCAGGGCAGCAGTGTGGAGATCGACCCCCAGGCCTCAGAGCAGCCTGGCCAGCTGAGGCCCGACGACAGCCGGACTGCCAGCAGCCCCTTCGCGGCGGCCATCGCTGGGGCCGTCCGTGACCGGGAGAAGCGGCTGGAAGCCAGGAGGAACTCCCCAGCCTTCCTCTCCACGGACCTGGGGGACGAGGACGTGGGCCTGGGGCCACCCGCCTCCCGGATGCAGCCCTCCACGTTCCCCGAGGATGACGGGTTCGGCGAGGAGAACGGCGCAGAGCCACTGTCACCCACGTCGGGGGTAGCGCCCATGGAGCCCGAGAACCATTTTGTGGCTGTTGGTGAGGCGATAGCTCAGGGTGAGGCCGGCAGGCCACTGAATTCCACACCCAAAGCCAAGGGGCCTGAGGGGAGCATGATGGGGCTCCCCAAGAGCAGCAACGTGGCCAGCCCTGAGAATTACGTCCACCCGCTCACAGGGCGGCTGCTGGACCCCAGCTCCCCACTGGCCCTGGCGCTCTCCGCTAGGGACCGAGCCATGAAGGAGTCCCAGCAGGGGCCCAAGGGGGAAGCCCCGAAGGCCGACCTCAACAAACCCCTCTACATCGATACCAAAATGCGGCCTAGCGGGGAAGCAGGCTTCCCTCTGGTCACCAGGCAGAACACGCGGGGTCCCCTGCGGCGGCAGGAAACCGAGAACAAGTACGAGGCGGACCTGGGCAGGGACCGGAAGGGTGACGACAAGAAGAACATGCTGATCCGCATCATGGACACGTCCCAGCAGAAGTCGGCCGGCCTGCTCATGGTTCACACTGTGGGCGCTGCCAAGCCGGACGACTTCCTGGAGGAAGAGGACGAGAAAGAGGATGAGGAAACAAAGCCAGACGACGCACTGTCGGAGGTGCCAGGAGGTGTTCCTGAAACCGAAGGTGCTTTACCGACCTCCGCCGGCCTCGAGCCCGCTGCCCCCGCGCCCGGCAGGACCATCACGGCAGCGGGCTCCGTGGAGGAGGCGGTGATTCTGCCATTCCGCATCCCTCCTCCCCCTCTGGCATCCGTGGATCTGGACGAGGATTTTATCTTCACAGAGCCATTGCCCCCTCCCTTGGAATTTGCAAACAGTTTTGATATCCCCGACGACCGTGTGGCTTCTGTCCCCGCTCTCTCAGAATTGGTCAAGCAGAAAAAAAACGATGCCCCCCAGTCCCCCACACTGAACCCCAGCCAACCTACCGACTCTGTGGACGGTAAGAAGCCAACTGGTCTTTCTAACTGTCTGCCTGCCTCCTTCCTGCCACCCCCTGAAAGCTTTGACACTGTCACGGACTCTGGGATCGAGGAGGTGGACAGCCGAAGCAGCAGTGACCACCATCTCGAGACGACCAGCACCGTCTCCACTGTGTCCAGCATCTCCACCCTGTCCTCAGAGGGCGGGGAGGGCGTGGACACCTGCACAGTCTATGCAGACGGGCAAGCATTCACGGCGGACAAGCCCCCAGTACCTCCCAAGCCAAAAATGAAGCCCATCATTCATAAAAGCAATGCACTTTATCAAGACACGCTAGTGGAGGAGGGCGTGCAGGGCTTTGTCATCCCCCCGCCAGCACCCCCACCGCCGCCGGACAGTGCCCAGCAAGGGACAAAGGTTACTCAGCCAAGGACCTCCAAGTTGTGGGGTGACATCCCGGAGGTCAAAAGCCCGATTCTCTCAGGCCCAAAGGCAAACGTGATTAGCGAATTAAACTCAATCCTGCAGCAAATGAACCGAGAGAAATCGGCAAAGCCAGGGGAAGGATTGGATGCGCCCATGGGAACCAAGCCTGCCAGCCTCACCCCAAGGTAAGTCCTGAAGTTGGCTTAGACACAGACTGCTCCATGCCGGGCTTTCCTCTGGGTCGTCCAGTCTGTGCTGACCAGGAAATGCCCCTGGGGAGCAACCCGAGTGGACATGAAGAGGGGGCCTGTGTTTGCCACGTCTGTTACACACTCGTAGCACTTGTTTTTCTCAATCTCCTGGACTCCGGTACAGCAAAGATCACATCCATCCCAGCAGGACGTGGCACCTCCACGTGGACTTGTCACAAAATGCAGCTGCACAATGCTATCCCCACCTGGCCTCCAAAGAGGGGCTCTGTCCTCTCATTCCATGTCCTCCAAATCTTTGCTGGAACCACCTAAAAATCCCTTCTATAGCCACACAGAGGCCAAAGCCAAGCTCCACCAAGCTGGTAGCCATGCCGGCTGAGGGGTGTGAGTGGCAGGCAGCGTGCACAGGTGTACGTGTGCGTGGGGCCCTTCTCCCTTCCTCCCATCAGTCTGGTTGCTTCACAAGCAAGTTCAGTATGAAATGCACTCCCCTGCAGGCCCTCCTATCCCAGAGGCAGGCAGCACGGAAGACAGTGTCTGATTTCCCCAGGCTGGCCATTCACAGTATCACACTGAGTCTAAGCTACTGCCCAAGGAACTGGGGATAGAACATGAGGGGTCATTTCTAGACCAAGCTGGAAGGCTGTGCCCAGGCACACCGTGCCCAGAGCAGCCCCCAGCGGGCTGTCTGTAGCTTCTGGAGAATTCTCACCGGAGCCCATCGGCTCCTCAGTCTTCATCCCGTGACGCGCATGGTCTGCCATTCCCCTGCGGCCCCGCAGTGTTGCTCTGTGTCCCCTGTGATGTCTGCTCTCAGGCTTCATCATTTTCACCAAGCCTTTCTCCCTTCTCCGGCTGGGCTGGCGTCTAGTTCAGACCTCTAAGCACATCAATCAGCGACACCACACTATGGTTGGATCTTGAGGTGCGGGGCTGAGAGCCACAGTTCCCCTAGTGATCTTTCACTGTTGATGGAGACCAATTACTTGCATGGCTCCTACTGTCCCGAGAAGTGCGGGTTGGCCAGTTCTGGTAGAGAGACATGCCGACGCCACTGTCTTTGAGTAGGGAGCCCTCTGTAACTGTGACAGTCCAGCTGCACCTGCAGGTGAAGTCTTTACAGATTCCAGTTTCTGGTGGACGTATGTACACACATGCCTACAAATAGCATGTATTTGAGAGTCTCAAGAAATCATAGAAAGTAGCCAGTTTGGCCCTATTCCCTTTACATAATAATGCAGTTTTTTCATTTCTACATTATGCCAAAGTACAATTAAGATGCTTTACCTTAGTGTTTCACATTTTGCACGTGCTTTCACAGGGGTGAGTAACCTTTATGACAGCAGGGGAGCAGAAGAGCAGGTATTAATTATACCCATTTTCAGGAGAAATGGGGGCTCATCCGCACGTGCAGCCAGAAGGCGGCACCAGGACTCAGGCTAAGGTGCCCAGACTAGCAGTCCCTCTACCCCCGTTTGCACCACCTGAGCACAGAGGATGCTGTGGGGGTGACCCTGGGGCTGCGCAGGCCAGCGCAGCGGCTGGAGCGAGCCTCTGCTAGCAGCAGGCCTGGGGGCCTCATCCAGGGCCCTTTCCCAACTGGGTGAGCTCCTAAGGGCTCGTCCGAGAGTGGGTCTCTGAGTTGACAGTGTCGCCAGGGTTTCCCTGGCCCGTTTCTCTAGGTGGGAAGGGCCTCAGAGCAGACGCACCTGATAGAATCCTGCTGGATTTCCTGGGAGCAGCTACAGGACCACCTCCAACTGATGCTCAGTTGCCCAGAACAGCCACCTCCAGTCTGTTCTGTTATTTATAACTCGACTCACAATAAGAACATTAGCCGACATCCACTAAACACCAAATGCCAGTGAGTGAACTGAGAGCAGGGAGGTGGGGCCCTCGGCTGGGAGGCCCGGACCCAGACCTCAGCCCAGGGAGCTACCTCGTTCAGCTCCTGACCTCTGGCCAGAACTAGGGGTTAGCCTGGAGGGAAGGGGCAGCTGCCTAATTTAGCAGCAGTAGGCCAAGCCCACTGAGAGCAGGGCTATCTTCAGAGCCCCGCCCAGTCCCCAGTGGCTGGTAATTGTAAGGTTGGTCGCCAGGCAGGCACCAGCACTGCCACCCTGAGGCTGTACCTGCTGCGTGCTCACAGCCAAGGGCTACACTGCGCTGGACAGGAGTAGGACGCTAGGCCCAAGGACAAGGAGGAAGGCCCCCGACTCGGGCACTCAGTGGCTCCCATGGCTGTTTGGATTTCACATCCTCTTGCCAGGCAAAGCCCCCAGTGGGCTGGAGCTGCAGCCACGGGGTATCCAGGCAAGGAGCAATCAGGGTGACAGTGACAGGTGTGACACGGCTTGGCCTCCTGCATGGCTGCGCTCCACTCCAGGTCCCTCTCTCACACAGACATGTCCCCAGCCAGCATCTCCTTTGCTGAGTCTTGCCTCCGCAGGAGGCTAGGTGTATGCATATTCGGAGGTTTGATGAGGCCACAGAGCTCTCCGCCGGACTCGCTGCCGGGGTGTCTGCCTGCACCTAAACACGAGGAGCTGTGTGTGGCCCTGGGCTAGATGAGGCCCAAGGTGGATGCCGGGCGTTCTGGCTGAGGGTAAAGAAATGAGCTTTTCTAGAAGTGAAAGTCAGCCATGGTGGTGCATGGAGCTCATTTGCACAGAAACAAGTTCTGACCACCGAGCAGGGGTCCATGGTGAGCTCTGGGAGAGCTGCACCTTTGGTGGCCAGGCCTGGTTTTCCAGGAAGCAGTCCCATCTTTGAAGAAAGTGTCAACTAGATCATAGCAGAGGCCATGGTGTGAGAGGACCGGGCATCTCGTGGCAAGCCGGCTGGTTCTCCCCCTCAGCAGAAGCGAAGCCCCGGGCTCCCCACCTGCAGGCACACGCCACAGGCCCAGCCCCTCCCCAGGACACTCAGAGCAGGTGACGGTCACATCTGGGTGCGCAGCAGCACTGGCGGCAGGGGCAGGTGTGTCCTCACCCGCACCCCCTTGGTGACCCCAGACGCGAGCCGCACAGTGCTGGAGGCATCGTGGGAGTGGGGCTCCCCCTGCTTTGGAATGCTTGGTGTTGCCTGAGCCTCTGGGTGCCAGGCTGGGGAGCCAGTGGGCCCCTCAGCCCATAGGCCTGGAGCCATAGCCCAGTCTGGAGTGGCTGCTCTGTGGGAACCCCATGCTGGACCTGAGGACATAGAGTAACAGAAGGGGTACACAGTCAAGGGGGCCCGGGCCCCCGGGCGCTGGGCAGCAGGCGTAGCCGTCAACCACTCGGCACAGTCATTACCTCTTGTGTGCCAGGCACCATACGGAGCCCCAGGCTTACCCCCGAGCAAGAAGACGCTGATGGTGTCTACCCTGCGAGCTGCATTCTGGGGCAGGGAATGGACAGTAAGCCGCACACGACACAAACGCGTAAGGCTGCGGAGGAGCGAAGGTGCTCACAGGTTGGAGTGACCTCTGCGGGAAGGTGGAATACAAGAGCCAGGCCTGCAGAAAACCTGGTGCCGGGCGTCCCAGGCACCAGGGGCGGCGAGTGCAAAGGCCGGCTGGGCAGGGCTTTCCGGGAAGCTGTGCCCAGTAGGGGATGCTGGGGGTCTTGGGCCTGCGTCCTGAGTGACAGCGGCCCCAGGAGGCCTAAGCAAAGGCAGGTACAGCCTGACTCTCATGTCATTAAGATGGTCAGCAGCTGGTCAGCCAGTCGGGCCACAAGGGGACTCAGGGAGGCCCAGCAGCTCACTGTCTCTCTGTCGGAAGAACAGAACAGTGAGTGTAAGTCCTCTGCTTCTGTCCAGAAGACTTGGCACCTTGGGGTGGGAGGTTCACCCCAGGGGCCAGAGGTCCGTGGGGGGCTCGGGCTGCCTGGAGATGAGGGCTCCGGCCTCGGGCTGCCCAAGGCCCTTGCCCTGCTCGCTTCGCCCACCGGCGTCTCCTGCTCTTCGCCAGCTCTCTGCACGTTGTCCTGAGGGCCTTTTGGTTTTCAGTGAATCAGTTTGGGTTGGTAAAAAATCATCTCTGCCCAGCTGATCCCAGAGCACAGACTTCTGAAGTGACTCCGTAGCAGAAGCCACGTAATGGTGTTCCCAAACCTCGGTGCTGTCGGGGTGGCCATGTCATTTCATGCACCAACTGAAATGCTGAGTGATGTGCATGGAAAGGTGGGGTGCCATGTGAATGCCAAGCAGAGGGGAGTGTGCCCCTCGCTGTCGGAGCGTCCTGCTGTGGATGGGACTGGAGGGGCCAGTCAAGCTGGCTGCCCGGCTGCAAATCACGTGCCTATACCCTCGCCTCCCAGATGGGGCATTTGGAGCACTCAGCCAATATGGGGGTGAATACTTCTACTGGAAAAGTGGGCACCGTCCTCCACACTTGGTGTGACCATTGCAGCAGGAGGACCTGGCTTCCTGGTGGACTGGCACCCACCTGTGCCCCCAATTCCAGCACCGTAGCCCAGCCCAGGCACTAGCTTCCTGATTGGGGACAAGCTCTCAATTGTGATGATGCCTGGGTGCAGAGCAGGCCAGAGGCGCTGACTCTGCCAGTGGTCGGCCTTGGCAGATGTGGTAACTGCTTGGTGCCCCACCTATGCAGATATGCAGACAGAGCAACTAGGAGAGCAGTTGGACAGAAGGGCACTTTGACATGCAGGGGATGGCTTGTCACACAAAGCCTGTGGGGACAGAAGTGCAGAGGTCCGGTGGGCATGTGCAGTCTGGTGCCAGAAGACCAGTGAGCAGCCTCTGGCTCATGTCCAGTTACTGAATCTATAAACACAATGAGAAAGCCACTTGAACACTTCTCTCTCCCACCCAGGTGTTTGCTGACTGATGAAATAACAGCACACTTCTGAGTGTGTGAGCTAACTCCCAAATTTTGTTTTCTGTTTCCACATGGATTTGATATAAAAGGCAGGACAGAGGGTGATAATCCAAGAGAAGGTGTGTGTGCGTGTGTGTGTGTGTGTGTCTGTGTTCTAAATCAGGTCACCAGATTCCCATGTGTTCCACCCGGGGACCCAGTGGTTGCTTAGCAACATAATGATCTTGCACCTAGGAGGGTCCCGTGAATGATGTCAGTGTGATGAGCTGAGAGTAAACCAGCCGAGCAGGAGGGGGGGCCAGCACAGGCCTTCACCCTGCTACCCACCCCCTGGCTGCTGTTTTCCCGTTGACCTGAGGCAGGGGCACGGGCAGGCCTCGAGCATGCGGCCAGACCCAGTGCCCGTTCCTAGCTGCCAGGCTCCCGTCTCACAGGGCAAACTCAAGCAGAGCACACATTCTGGTGGCGAGGCTTCCCCCCCAGGGATGCTGGTCCATTCTTCCTAAGCTGCAGAAGACTAGGGGCTCAAGGAAGCCATGTTAGGGGATTAGCAATGAGCTGCTGCTCAGAAGCCTTTGAGAGAATGTCCTGTTTTCCGACACCTTTTCCCCAGGTGTATTTTTTCTTTATAGTCACATCATCCAAGCCGAAGGCGGCAGGGTTGCAAACTGCCCGTCCTGAACAAGAAGTGATGCTGTGCTGAGTCCCTGTTCTGGGTGGTTATGGGGACTGCATGGAAGGGGCCAACAGGGATAGGTCCTCGGCCAATGTCTGTACCGCTTTCAGGTCACCTGTCAAAAGCAGCTGCTTTTTTTCATTTTAATTGGTTTTGCAGTGTTGTCTCAAGCCCTCCCATCTTGTCATTTTCATTTGCTCCCACGATGTGTGTTAACAGAAGAGAGTCGTGCTGAAGAGAAGTAAGTGCTGCCTGCAGGAGCGCCCCTCGCCTGTGGTGTGCGTGCCGTCTCTCCCTCCTGCCCACTGATGTGTGGGGCCCTCTCTTGCCTTCTGACAGCAAACACAGCTGCCTGCAGAGCATCCCTTTAGAAAAAAATCCTACCCACCTGTGAGCAGTTGGGGTATTTCCAAAGAGAGGGTGGCCCTGACTCCCGCCTGGTTCCAGTGGCCCAGGTGCAAGGCAGCTGCTGTCACTTGGGGGACTGACCCGCCTGAGCCTCACGAAGCCCTGGGAACAGCCAGGCCACTCCCGGCTGCACTGCCCAGAGCATCCGCTCACAGGCAGGGTCGTGGGCACAGCCACCAAGCAAGCCACCTTTACAGAGGGCACATGCAGTCCCTCAAGACCCCACCCAGGCCAGAGGTACACCTGTGGGATGTTTGCCCACTTCACAAAGGCTCCTCCCCCAAAGGCCCCCGGCCCTAATCAACAACTCAGATCACCTAGAGTAGAGCGGCTTCACACTCAGGCCTCATTTGGGGCATCTTCCTTCCATGTTTCAAGGTGGAACAGATGAGCCTTCCCCAGAACAGGTGTCCTGCAGCTGTGCAGCAGACACGCCAGGAAGCGGGTCGCCTTGCAGGGCGTTCCACTGTGGCCCATGTGGGAACTGCAGTGGGGCTGTTGATCCTACTTGGGCACCAGAATTGGAAGGTTTCTCCTTAGCCCACCTCTTAGGAACCCAGTCTAGATGCCAGAGGGTGCTGTCTCACTCGCCCCTGCATAGGCAGCCCTGGAGCCTGGCAGTGGAGTCATCCTCAGTCTCACCTGGGGCTGCCTCTCCTGGCTGGTGTAACCAGCACACCACCAGCCCCTGCCAGAGGCTCTCCTGTATGTACAAAGTCCCACCTGGGGTGCCTGGCCCTCTGGGAGACTGCATAGCAAGTGTGCAGCCACTTGCACAGCGAGGTGCTCAGCATGTACCAGGGCCTAGTAACCGAGTGGCAGAGCAGAGAGCCAGCAGACTGGGCCACGTGCAGCTCATTCCCCTCACGCAGACTGCAGGCCGGCCACGTTCACTCGTTACGGTGCCAGCACCTGGGCAGCTGACTACCTCACCACATAGCAGGCGCAGGAGCCCGTCCTACGTGGTGGGGCCGTGGAGGCTCACAACCTGAAGCGTGCCTATGCTGGTGTTCGGCAGGGCCACGATGCCAACAGAACACCTCAAGTCCAGATCCTGAGGGGGGACCCCCCAGTAGGATGGGTCCTTCCAGGAGGGGCCCAAAAGGCAAGGGACCCGCCCATTCCTGCTGCCTCCCCTGTGGGTGCACACGCCGTCAGTGTGGAGACAGCAGAGAACACGGACCGGGGCCCATGGGCGGCTGTCCTCCGTGCGTGGCTGGCAAGCCTGCGGCGGGCCCTGGACAAAACCAGGAAGGGCGCCAGGTATAAAGAGACCATCTCCACGCAGGCACACGTGAAGACTAGGGAGTTCTGGCACCAAGATGTGGTCTGCTCCCCTCGGGAGTTGTCCAGCCATCTCACGGGCCAGGAAAGGTTGAACCTAAAGGCAGGGAGCAGGACGGGCTTCCATGGCCGCCGCCAAGAGAAGGGGGCCCCTTTCAGGTCCCTGCTGCTTGGTGAGGATCACACATCCTCCCAGTGAGCTGCTACACTGCCCTTGGGACACCTGCGTGCACACGGGCCACCCCACACCAGTGAGCACCGGGTGTCTGCAGCAAGCCCCACTCTGGGGGAGCAGTGCAGTCTGAACACAGGCCAGCCACTCCTCACTGGGTCTGGGGGTGACTTCTTCAAACCCTAAGTGTCCCAGAGAGGCTATGGGGCTTCCCACTTAGTCCAGCAGCCCGCCTTTGGGTGCCCTTCCCAGCACCTGGCCTTTTAAGCAGAGGAGCTGAGGCCCGGCAGGCGAGGAAGAGGGAGGGTCCCTTCTCGCTGTCTTCAAGCTGCCTGTCCTCCAGGCGTGCTGATCATGTCCTCAGCCACATCCCACCTGGGACGCCAGGGACAGGACTGTTCTGGCCCTGTCACCATGCCCTCGAGTAGCCCCTTAGAAGTGCCTGCTGGCCACCCCTCTACTCCCCCGGCAGGCAGACTCGCCCAGCTGCCCTGCCGTGCTCAGGTGAGTGGGGTGCTGTGGTGTGCTTTGCCCAGACCCCCGCCCCCCGCCTCCTGCTCCTCCCCCATCCCACCCTGCATGGCAGGTCATCGCTCATGGCCGGCGCATCTGCCATCAGGCGCTCCGGTGTGGTCTGCGTGCCTCCCTCCCTCCCCTGGCTACCGGCATCCTGATGACCCACGTGGCGACCTGGCTTGTGATGGTGTCTCTGCTGTTGCTGTTTCAGAAACCCAGAGGTTGTGAGCACCGTCTCAGGTACACGGAGCACGACGGTCACCTTCACTGTCCGCCCGGGGACCTCCCAGCCCATCACCCTGCAGAGCCGGCCGCCAGACTATGATAGCAGGACCTCAGGAACCAGGCGGGTCCCGAGCCCCGTGGTCTCACCGACAGAGATGAACAAAGAGATCTTGCCCGCCCCCCACTCTGCTGCTGCGGCGCCTCCGTCCCCCGCCCTCTCGGACGTCTTCAGTCTCCCGAGCCAGCCCTCTCCCGGGGACCTGTTTGGCTTGAACCCGGCAGGACGCAGCAGGTCGCCCTCCCCCTCGATACTGCAACAGCCAATCTCAAATAAGCCTTTTACAAGTAAGCCTGTCCACCTGTGGACTAAACCAGACGTGGCGGACTGGCTGGAAAGTCTAAACTTGGGTGAACACAAAGAGACCTTCATGGACAATGAGATCGATGGCAGCCACTTACCAAACCTTCAGAAGGAAGACCTAATAGACCTCGGGGTGACTCGGGTCGGGCACAGGATGAACATAGAAAGGGCTCTCAAACAGCTGCTGGACAGATAAGGGCGGCTGCTCTTCCCCTTTACAGACTTCTTGTTATAAGTAGAGATGGGCTTATACTGAAATACCTGAATGGCCATAAGGTCTGTGAGCACCACCCACTCCATGGGTCTGTCTCCTGGTACCCAAAGAAATGCCGAGTGTGTTCAGGGTGGGCCTATGCAAAGGCCTGCAAACCCCCCAGCTCTGTGGGTTTCTCGGGCTGAGCCTTCTCAACAGGGGACGAGGGAAGGGGGTTTTCTAACAGAAAGATGCACAGCTTGCCTCCCAGCACATGGGCATCCTCACCGGGGCGGGCCCTCTGCCAGAGACTCCCGCCGGGCCAGCACGGGATCCTTGCTCTCACAGGCAGACACCGACGTACCTAGATACCTCCTGGGACCTCCCTCCCGCTTTCCAGGGGGTGGCACGAGGCCTGTCCCCCACCTGTGGCCCCCGGGAGCCCCTCAGTGCTCACTCGCTCCCTTCTTTCCTGCACTTTGCTTGCAGGGTGACACCCCCAGACATGTTCATCCAGTGCCCCTTTTTGGGCCTCAAAGGTAGAGCAGCTTTTCTTCCTGCAGATTATTGACCCCATCTCTGCGTGCGGCGTGCATCTGTGGCCCTCTGGCCATGAGGTTCTCGGCAGTGGTGGGGCATTTGAGTGGAATCGTGCCCAGCTTTGCCCAGCTTTATTTCTGCAAACCTCTTAGCGTAATTCCAAAGTGGCCAAAGAGCTGTCACATGGAGTTAGTCAAAGCACAAAGTCACGATTCCAAGGAGGAGGGGAGACCTAGCTGCAAGACGCAGCCAGCATGCGGCTCCTGCTGGGTCCAAAGTCTTCTCGAGGCCAAGAGCAGTTGTCTGCCGGAGCATCTCTCCAGGATTTGAGACAGGGGTTCTCTGCCTTTGGGAATTTTTTTTAATTGAAAGGGTGTTGAATTCTGCAAAGATCAGAGCAGGTGAGCATGCACTTCGACATGAGGGCCAGACTCACGGGTACTGGTGGGCACATGCTGCTGCCAGGGGGTGGTATCTTCGCCCAGAGCTGAGTGGGGCATGGTGACCTCAGTCCTGAGCCTGGCCAAGGGTAGGTGTCTCTACTGACACCCCTTTGCTCTCTAAGGCCAGGGAAGGCAGGACATAGAGGTGTTTTCTCTTTCTCTCTGAGTGTCCAGGAACCCCACCAACATGTCTTAATAGTACACAGACTTTTGAGAGCCCAGTGGGTATGGCATATGGATGGCACAGAGGCTGCAGGGAGGGTGCAGGCAGGGAGGAAAGAGTGGGGGGCAGGGGGGGATTCCTGGTCCACTGGCCACTGTCCCGCCTCTGGCAAGGCCTTTAGGAGCCCAGCCCCATTCTGCTCCCTGGAGCTCCCGCCCCTGTAACAATACCTCTGATTTCCAAGGGAGGTTGCCGATCGCACATGGGCCGCCAAACATCCAGGCTTCCAGTACATTCTCCCACATTTGGAAGAAACTCGAACGTCAGGTTTTTGGCTTTATTATGACTTCAGAACTAGCCTAGCCCATCTCTAATTATAAAAACATGATTTTTTTTCCCTTTTTTTTCTTTATGCTCACAGTCAAGTGTCTGATTAGGTTTGGAACAGCTCTAGAATGAATACGTAAAAATTAGCAATTTAAAATTTCTTTACTGCAAGTTTAAATAGTTGTACAGATAGTTTATAAGCACAATATTTTAAGAAAAAAAAGTGGCTGGTCTACTAGGCAGCCTTTGTGCCACTTCAGTGCTAGAAAGTTAAAGAAAAAAATTTTGTGATTTAATAATCCTATTTCTGTGGAACAATAATAAAAGTATGACCTTTTTAAATCGACCTCATTTGGATGCACCTGAACCAGCAGCGCTGTGTTACATTTTCTATCTTTGCTAGAACTTTGTCATCAAAGGACAATTATTCAAAAGTGGTTACAATTCACAATGCAGCAGTTTCTCCCAAATCTCACACACACACGCACACAATTTCTCCAACTACATGCCCCTGAGTTGGAAACTGAGCTTTGGATCTTCTCCTATTCCAAAATCTTTTGCAGGTTGATCGTTGTATTTGAATGATTCCATCCAACTTGCAATCAATTGAGTATTAAGGCACTTTACTGCACATACTTTTGATTTTTCCATCGTGAGATGAATATTAGTCTAGAGAAGTGTCACGCCAGGATGCCACAGGTGGCCTGTGAGGCTGCCTGATATTATGATGATGCAAAAATGGTGGATTGGCCAGTATTTGTCTTCCACTTGGCAACACTGCAAAGTTCAGTCAAACACGATCTCACCATGGCCCGTGTCCTTTGCCTATATTGATGTTACCTCTGTGCTCATGCCAGGCCAAAGGCTACACAGAATGGGCATGAAGGCAGTGGCTGGCAGTGTCCCCAGTCGCTCCCCAGTGGCTTTAGGTTGGCGGCCAGTGGCAAGAGCTGGCTGCCCCTCCCCTTCTTAAAGAGCCTTCAAACCACGAGCAAACAGGGTGACGACGGAAACAAGAGCTGGTTCGATCATTCGTTTTTACCTTGTCTTACTGTAGAAGAGTCACAGAACCTGCCAGAACCTGCACTGGCCGCAGAACGCACAACGCTGAGGTGAATCAGTCTCTAGCTTTAGTTGATGGTTTTGCCACCGAAAAGCAATAGTTTCTCATCCACAGCTCCACCCCCTGCTCTCCCACTCGGGGCGTGTCGGACCAGGCCCTATTCCATGACCTCTTTAATGGTGGAACAAATGTTAAACTGCTCATATAAAGATCATGTTAATGCTATTCCAGGTTTTAAAATCAACTTTTGTTACATACTGTAATTTAAACAAACCACATTCACATGCCTACTTTCTGTAATATTGTGTACACAAAACCAAAATCACTCAAGATGTAAATTCTGTATACCTGCTCAGATACCTTCTCAGGGTGTCTGTGCATTTTAAGTTAATTCATATAAAAATGACTCAGTGTGACTGTTGATTTGCTGATCCCTACATGTCACAAAGTGATTTGTAGTACTTTAGTTAATAAAATGGTGATTTTTTTTGAATTATTGAACAAGCAAGTATTATCCAGGTGATCTGGCAATGACTTTTTGTGTGTGGGCCACAAATATTGATTTTTCCCATTAATAAATTTTTTTGGTTTTTAGAAACTATTGTTTCACACTATAGTTTGTGTAACACATGTTCACATTATCTGTTGCTGTTACTATTGTGCTTTTATTCTTTTTAGACTTTATTTAAAAACAAAAAACAAGCTCCTGTAATTTGCACTTTCTCCCAATCCTTAAGTCTCTTGTATGGCAACCAAAACTACTGTAAAAAGACAAATAAATATACTATTGCACTAAGGTTGTGGTTCTGACTGCAAACAGTGAAAACTGAATCAAACAAATAGTGACCAGACTTGCAATCTATAATGTAGGGTATTTGAACATCACAGCCACTTTACCTCTGAGAAAGTGACCAGATAATATCACTGAGTAGAAATGCTCCCACTGAGCTAATCCGCCCTGTTCCATTTCCTTAAGTGCTCTTTGATGTATAGACGGAAGCACGTATGGCATTGCGGAGCTGTGGGAACTGTCAGTGCGGGCATGTGTGAACGCCGCTCCCACTGCACAGCTGAAGCCTTGCTTTCCCTTGTCTGGGGAGGGAGGCAGGCGTGGCCTGAAGGGCGGCCAGATTCGGATCCCTGCCTGCCAGCGGACGTCTTCCCGCCGTTAGGCCATGGGGGCTGCAGAGTGGCAGCCTCCCTGGCTGACGTAAAGCCAACTGTGTGGTGAGCAAGCATGCATGACACCTGGGGTGAGGAGCTGTGTCTTTTTGGCAAAGACCTGAGCCAGGGAGACGTGGGTTGTAGGGAAGCGTATTTTTAAACTTCAGCACTGACCCTCTTCTTTGACCTCCCCAGGGAAGATTTGTCTTTAGTTCTCAAGCAGTTTCTCCTGTTCCGCCACTTTTCCGCCTGAGCAGCAGCCACTATGGTTCTCTGTTCACAGAAAGTTCTAATCCTCACAGCTTTGGTAGTTTACCCCTCTCGAGCCCCCCGGCCTCACCGCCAATGGGTCCTCCCAGACCTGTTCTTGATAAATGTATCCGTTTGTCTTAAGAGAAAAAAAGCGATTGGAGGACTTTTTCCTTTACTTGTATTTGGAGGCATTTTAATAACCGGTGAACTGGACTGTCTTTTCTGTACATGCAAGTAGGCGACAATCCCACTGGCCAGGGGGCCACCGTGGCTGCACGCGTACAGGACTGCCCGTGCCTTGCGGGGAATCGGGTGACTTCCAAACTTGTTTCTCAGACTTCAGATCTGATCGCTTCAATTTTTCACCCACACTGTGTCAGTGGTTTTATTTCCTTATTGTTCCTGTAGCATGGCTCTACATCTCACGGCCTCTACCGTTTTATGTTTAAAATTACAATCACTGTCCATTGCTTCTATTCTGGAATTCTTTATTTATAGCAAGTCTGAAAATTTAATATAAGCCTTCAAATAAATACAGAAAAGAAAAAAAAGGAAAAAAATCAAGCGTGTGCCTTGGGTGTTTTGAACCTGATCTGCGTAAAACGATATTGTAATCAAATGCTGTATATTTAATGAAAGGATAAATAGAACTTCAATGTATTAATGTAGCTGATAAATAGTTATAGTGCCTTGTTTTCTGAACTGAGAAGCCCATATCAATGCACAACATAAAGTAAAAACGATTCAAGAAATGAAATGTTGAGAAGACCCAGGCGTGACTCGGGCCTTTCTCATAAGGCTGTGGAAGATACACAGTCCTTTGAGTTAAAAAATAAAAAGAAAGTTGAAATAAGATTGTGTCATCAATTACTTTTCCATTACAAGTGCTCTCTACTGTATCACTTGCAGTATTGTCATTTAGTTAGAATACGAACTGTGCCTGAAAACTGCCATGGCACAGAGAGGTGGCAGCGGGACCAGGAGTCCTGGGCTTCAGGCCGCCCGCCCGTGGGCTGTGGCTGGTGATGCTCATTGGTACCGAACTCAGCAGTACCCATCGCGTCCACATTTGGTTGAAAATAATATTTCTTTTAGTGGTTAGGGCCTCTCTTGACAGAAGAACTATTCTCATTTTCCTAGGAGTGGCAATCCATGGTCCGCTTTTCTTTTAAAAGGAAACGATGTAAGAATTACACAGTCTAATCCCCATCTCCACGCTGCTATGCTCCGCTCACTGCGAGTTAAATGTGAGAATGGGAGCTGCTCTGAGAGGCCTCCGCATCTCAGAGGACAAGTCTGGGGCGTAGTGGGCGCGTCGGAGGCTGCATCCCGCCTGGAGGACTGTGAGAGTCACAGCAACAGGGGGAGTCTGATGGATGGCTCTGCAGACCAAAGCTGCGCCAGCCTGTCTTCCTGGGACCCCGCAGCAAGCAGGCCGCCGCTATTTCCAGGGGCAGGACAAAAGCCATGTGCTGCATCCGTCAGCATGGCTCTGGGCTCCTCTGCTAGACACACATCTCAAGGGAGCAAGGAGCTACAAAGACTTCACGAGACTACCATCAGGGCTATTCACCAGGCCAAAGTCAACTGGACAGCCAGACCTTTTCACTTCAGGCCACAAATGCAGACAATGACCTGACGGTCTGAAAAGGGTGGTGTGGGAGAAATGGCCAGGGTTTCTTAAGGGCCCCATTCCACATGCTGCCTCTGCTGGAAACATGGATCTGAGAGTCAAAGGGGCAGGCCGGAGACGGGCAGCTGAGCCCGGGCCCCGCACAGGATGAGGACCAGGGAAAGGGGCTGGCCTTCCCACAGCAGGGTGAGCAGGCCCGGGCAGGAGGGCAGCTGATCACTCCCTGCCTCTGGTGCCAGGGCATCTGTCCAGCTGCTCCAAGACAATTTGCCATCCTGCCAGTACTCGTAGTATTCCTTGCCAAGGGGCTTAAACAGACTTAAATGTGTTCTTCAAACCCTAGGACCCAGAGAGCAGAAGAACACAGCCCTTAAAGCTTCCACAGCAGAAGGCCGAGGTCAGCGTATTTCTGTGCACAATCCTCAAGAGGCTAGAAATAACCACATCTAGTGGGTGCTCTGAGCCCTGCACCCACTGAGTACCTGCCAGCCCTACAGTAGAAATAAACAGGATTTGCTATAGTGCTAACCTGGCTAAGCCCGTTTTTGGCAAAGACAGCCCGTCAGGTGCCCGATACCTGCTGTGTCAGGCTCTACCACTGATGACAAGAACACATTCCTCTCTCTGCTGCCCTCCGACACTGGGCAAGGCCAGAGGTCCGGGAGGCTGGGCAAGGTGGGGGCTCTTCCCAGCTGAACCACCGCAGGGGTGAACAGGGAGGCTTCATTCAAGAACAATCTGGTTGCCTCACTTCCCTGAAGCCAGGACCTAGGGGCCCTAGGCCTTCACAGAGCAAAGACTTGACATTTGCAAAAAGACCCACAGCTTAGAGATGTGTGTCATGTGGCATCTGTCTTCTTAAAAGAATCCATTAATTATCAAAAAGGTGATTATCTCCTTTACCAATGAGGAAACAGGCTCAGAGGAAGCAAATGAGTAACCATCCTGAAGAAGTGAGTCCTCGCCGTGGAGAAGACCGCCCTGGGCCTGTCCTTCCCACGCTCTCTGGCCAAACGCTTCCCCCCATGGCTCTGAGTCACCCAGACTCCTCCCACCGCAGTCTTTTGTGGCCTACGTCAGCCAGAGACGTTTCTGTTCCTGCAACCACAGGTTCCTGGCAGCCACAGCCTCCACCCTCAATGCCACTGTCTGCTCCCACCCCTACAGCCTCCCTGTGCCATGTGACGTGGGGTAGCCCTACAGCTCCCTTCACTGCCACTTGGTGGCCAAGGAGAAAGACCATGTGACTGGAAGAGGAGACAAGGGGTCGCCTGTGTGGCTGCAGAGTAAGTTTCTAAATGAGTCTAACAGGCCCACGCAGCTCTGAAGTTTCACCAAAAGCCAAAGGCATGGAGCGGCGGCTTCCTCCCCGGCCTTGGAGCCTGCCATCTGGGCAAGCTAAAAATAAAGGCTCCATTTTCAAGCAAGAGTTTATAAATGTGCCCACAGAGGCCTGATAAAGACATGGAGACAACGTGCTTATCTGGGGGAAACCGCATAGCCTGAGCCCTCCAGCGCCCGCGGGCTTGCCAGGAGAGCCCAGCCTCCCTCCACAGAGGCACCTGCACTGGCTTTTTCTGGCAGGAGCCACGAGGACTAAGTGGAGAGTGTTCTGGCGCTTTATGGTGGGAGAGAAGGAAACCGCAAAAATAGACGGCTGGAGAGGGCACAGGGCGCAGGGCACCCACTGCAGGGTCGCAGCCCGCCTCCTCCTAGGCAATCCGACTCCTGCCCGCCTCCCTGGCTCCAGCCACATTCCCACCTTGGGCGTCCTCTCTGCCTGCCCCTCGCGGTGTCTGGAAATTCTTCCCCGTGTCCGCATAGCTCCCTGGACCACCAGATTTGGGGAACTCACTGCTCTAAACAGGTGCTCACACCTCCCAGTATTTACGCGGCACTGGGCACGACCTCAAGTCGGCTGTTGATCTGCGTTTTGATCCTCCTCCCTCCCCCATCCCCAACACACACGCCTCTTGGAACGTGAGCCCCCGAGGACGGGAGCTCTGCCAACAGGTGCCATCTCCGCCGGCACAGAGGCCCCCGGCGGCCCCTCACAGCCCCGGGCCCCCTGCAGCCCCCCCGGCTGCTGTAGCGCGCCTGGTCCTCGCACACCTGGGAAGACCCCAGAACCTGCACAGCCTCATCCCCGCACTGTCCGACCCTGTCCTGACCCTCCTCGGCGCCCGGCCCGGGAAGATGCTGGGAATCCCCCCCGTGGCCCATCCGGCTGTCTGCAGCTGTCGCCCGAACGCTGTGCGGCCTGTGACCCCGAGCTGCGCCCTCACGGTCCCGCCCCAGCAGCGCTGCAGGGGCAGAGCCGGTGGAGAGGGCGGCGGCTCCTCCCCAGGCAGAAGCGGGGGCCTCCCCAGGCCCTCGCCAGCGGCCGTGCGCCGGGCGGGCGGCGACGGGCAGCTGCGGGCCCAGGCCCCTCCGGGCCGCCCTCTCCGGGGGCTGGTGGAAAGCCCGCTGGAGGTTCCGACGCGGGGGCGGCGCACCCCCAGAGCCCGGCGTTCGGGGTGCCTTACCGCAGTTCCCGGCGCTGGACAAGCCGCCCGCGGCCCTCGGAGATGGGGCTTTCGGGGCCCGCGGCGCCTCTGCCGGGGCTCTGAGGACTAGGGGCGGACGACGCCACGCGGGCCCCCCCACCCTCACCCTGGGCCCCCCTGCCCTCGCCCCACGGAACGGCGCTGAGCTTGCCACGTGCCCGCGTGAACCAATCAGGAGTGACCAACCGACTGCCGAGCACG